CCCCCCCCCCCCCGAAGCCGAACAGCGGTTTCTTTGGAAGCGCTGAGGTTTCTGACCTTTCATGGTGACTTCAATATTTCTCATCCTTTTCTCCTCTTCGATTTCCTTCTTGCACGGAAGCTAATACTTGTTTCGTTTCCTCGAACAGATTTTCTCTTGACTTCCACTGTTCGCTGAAATGATCTACAATGGTAACCAGTAACAATGCTACAATCACATTGGGATCATTCGCTTTTTCCGAGCCAGTTAGTTGATACAAACGATAAATAAGGTCACTTGTCCTCCTTACCTCAACTCAGCAGCAACATGTTCAGCTTTTTCCAACGACTCCTTGTAAATGTTGGACAATTCTCGTTCCTTGCGCAGTTCAGCTTCTAAGTCAGCAATAGCTACGCTGTGTTCGGAAGAAAGCTAAAGGTATGGTATATTTCAAGAAACAACACACCAGAAGGTTATCATTCGCACCTGAGCTATTCTTTCAAGAGCTTCATCCGCATGCTTCTTCCTCAACTGGAGCTGCCCTTCATGTTCCTCGGCTGCCAACTGGAGTCGAGCAATTTCATCCTTGAGCGACAGTCTTTCGCGTTGCCAAGACAGCTCTTTCGAGCTCTGAATTGAAGATCGTTGATATGTTTAGCAATACACATTGACTTTTCGACCCAAAGGAAACTTATCAAATAAGCCATATTGAAGGTAGAAGAGACAAATTCAAGTCTTTCGGGAACGTATTGGTATCGAAATTACTTTGTAAGTTTGTTTCTTTTACGTCTACCAAACGAGGTTTTGAAATGAATTCTTACGGCCTGACGTTCCAACCTTTCATCTTCCTCAAGAACCCAAGATTCGCGAAATTTCCCAGCTGTTGAAAAAAAAGGTCAACTGCCGATTTTTGGTAAAAAAAAACACAAGACCAGGGCACGTCTTGTCGTTGGGGTGAATTTTATAAAGTATGGTCCTTCCCTCGAAGCACGTGAAACAGACAGAGACGACAGCAGAGAATATTCTTTTTTGAAGGCAGGTAGGCACGTGAAACAGATAGAGACGACAGCAGAGAATATTTTCTTTTTTAAAGGCAAGTAGGACCCTCCAAAGCGACCAGATATGACCCCTCGCTGGGGTTCCCCAGTGAACAACGTGCTTTTTTTAAAGACACCGGTTACGACCTCCTAAGGAGCGGAGCTAGAAAAACACGTCATTGGCACGCGGCTCCCCTTTCCGCCTTTTATGACGATGAACAAAAAGGGGAGAGAGTTGCGTGAATGATGTTTTCAGGCTCCGCTCACCAGATACTCCAGTGCCTTCGAGAAATCCAAGTTGTAATGTAGATGTCGCACTATATCAGAGTAAAACTCTTGCAACAGCTTCAATACAATTTGCTAAGGTGAAAAGTAAGTTGAAAGTTTGGCGCAGTTCTATTTAGTGAGGCAAGAAATGGTACTCAGAGTCTATACAGGCCACCATGCAGAAACCTGTGACCTCTTCTTACCAAAGTGGCTCAACTGCACCAGCTCTTCACAAGAGATTACAGGTTTCAGCAGAATGTGATGTTAGTAGACGTGAACTAGAAAGATATAGCGAAAGAGCAAACTGCCTACCCCCCTCCCCCCCCAGCAGAACAGCGCCGGAAATTCTCCCTAACAGCTACTAAGTTTCACTGGTTGTGTTTTTTTTCCATAAGCAGTGATGCCTGATTCACTGGAAAAGCTTCCAAAACTTTATACCCCAAACTATACAAACGTTTACTTCTGAGAAAGTTAACCCGTCAAGCTTCGGAAAGTGGTCGCCGTTTACACCTAGACATTCATGCAGAATGGACAACATTATGAACATATGAAGTTTCGTTAGGAAACTAACCAACTCTATCCTGAGTTCAGCGCACTTGCTATCCTTCTGTGCTATTTCTTCGAGGAACCATTTTCGAGAGTTCGCATACATTTCACTCTCAGCACGTGCACGCTCTCGTTCCGCCTGGAAAGGTAGCATTAGCCTGTATAGAAAAATTTCAAGGGAAAAAAAGGCAAAATTCAATGTGATTACCGAAAGTGTACGCATTTCTTGATCTATGCTACTCTTTTCTTGCATCAAAACCGCTTTCTCATTTAGTGCCTTCTGGAGCTCGTCCTTCAGGGCGAAGTTCTCAGCTGAAGAGGGAAAGAGTTATCTCTCATCTTTCGACATTTGCCCGCAGAACACCGTTGTCCAAATGGGGCTACTCACTTGCTATGAGGTGTTTCTCCTTAGTGAGAGTACGGATGGCGTTATCTCGTTCTTCCTTCTCGTGCTTCAACCGCTCCAGGTCACAATCAACTGTCATCTAAAAAAGGTAACCCATTACTCAGTGCTGAACCTCCGAAAACGGCGAAATAGGAGGTGTTTACAAAGGGTTTGTTCCTAAGGGTTGAATCAGGTACCAAGCAGGGCTAAGTAAGCTCTAACAATGAGGGGACACGTTCGAACTCACTCTGAGAACTCAATGAGGGGACACTCTAGATAAGTGCTTTAAGCGGACTGGACCTTCAAATCCTTTCAACCAACAGTTCACCACCTAAATGAGAACCAACGAACGACTAACTCAGTCACAAAACTGCAACCATCAGGAATATGGGGGGAGCTCTATTACTGCTTATCCAACCAATGAAATAAGTACTCTGGTTACATTTACCCTCCCCGACCAAGTAAACTGACTTGGATAAAAGATAACCTTTTTCATAGCGAGTTCGTTCCTTGAAGCTTCGAGCTGTCGATATAGACGTGATCGTTCATTAGCATCCTCCACTGAAACAGTTATGTTGAGCACTGCTTACCCATTCCCAGCCCATTCTTCAGAATATAGGATCCATTTTGACCGGATTCATTCCCAGGGGAAGACTCTGCTACATTATCTAAGGGTAGTCTGAGTCTCTGGACACGAATACCACACCCACTTGGCAATCGACGAACTCTTTTGAAGCGAAATGCCTGGCGCGCGCTAGAGCACAACTTCAGTACCGCACTCACCAAGCGTTCTATCCCCGGATTCGATATTCGCATTTTGGGGATCAAACCACCCCGTCGAACAAGTATTCAGCGAATTTGGTTGTTCAAATGCCCTGGCGCCCATGCCTCTGGCGCGGGAGACAGTCGTTTTCGAGTCGAACAGTTGTGAAGTTCGTGTTCAGGATGACAAACTCCCCTCGGGTCGGAACGCTTCTCTCTGGGGAAAATTTCGGTCAAACTACGGACTTAGTTTCGATGAGTACGCCACTAGAGGGAGAACCCAAATGTTGCAAATGGTGTTTGACTGTATAAAAGATGTAAAGATGTAAAGCGTATTGAGAGTAGAGTCTTACTACTACTGGCGACTTGTGACTGCAGTTCACTATTTCTGGAAGCCAGTTCTCTACACTTCTCCTTGATGTCGAGCAGCTCCTCTTCGATATTGCTTTTTGCATGTCCTAGTAAAGTTATAAGCTGAAGCCATACAGTCAAGGCAGACTACAACAACAAAACTTACGGAGAGCAACTATTTCACTGAGCAAGCTTTGTACGTCCGAATGGTCTTCACCAGCGGGCGCATCTGATGAACTTCCTTCCATAGGCACGTCTTCCACTACATGAACAACTGCAGGGTTTTCAGCCGAAGCCTGAAAATGCTCGAAATCAGTCGGAAATCGTCGCATTTTTTAAAAAAACGCCAAAAGGAACCGTGCTGTTGTCCTCTTTCCTAGGCAGATTAGTTGTTTATGGTTGTAATGTGGGGATATAATAGACCCATAGACAGTTGAATAAAGGGAAAATTCATAGCAGCTATAGCATGACCGTGAAAAGCTGACCGCTGGTTTCATGAAGAACTTCTACCGATCCGTCTCCTGCAGAAACCGATGTAGCAACTGTAGGCTTCACTTCTGCCGCCATACTGTCCGCATCAGCGACATTCATCCATACGATTGGGTTTGGAATCCATCCCTAGTAAGTACCGTAATAAAGTAAGAATCTTAGGCAGGGCAAAATGGCTATTAGACAGAACCTGCTAGGCTCTAAACGTAGTTAAATCACCGCTATTCGATCCAAACATGTATGAGTCAAATGCGATTTGGAAACCAGTTTGCATAGCTCTCCTTCATAACACCCTCTGAGCCACTAACCCCTCCCTCTATCACCAAGACTACTTGAGAAATACTTGACTGAATTTCCAATGATTGAGAGTCGAAGAAAATGAATAACCCGCAAAATCTTGTCATCTGTTAGGAAAGTCTGAAGGTTTTTCCGATGGTAGGCTCATTTATGTAAGGTAGAAAAAGAACTATGTGTTGTATAACAAAGCTGGACTAACTCTAGAATACGAACAAGAAAAGAAGACAACTAGAAGCGCCGGCGCAACTTTTTACAAATTTTACTACTGACGACGATCGCGCGCGTCTCCATGGTCCACGAAGTAGCCGCGGAGCGCGGAAGTGGAGACGTTCTGATATGGCGTGGGAACGATCGAGCTCTGATGGGCTTCCGGGTTTTTTTCGGGTGGATATCTTGGAATTCTGATGCGCGAGCGATTTCTTTCTGGGGTCTTAATACTTTCTTTGGCTTATCTGTTCATCTGACCAATTGATAATGCGTTTCTGTTTTTTGAAAGAGACAAATTTTAGTAGCTCGTCGTACTTGGAGCTATTTTTCACATTGTGAACATTATACTCTGACAGGGTCACATCTTTCATCCCTTTACCCATCGCACAATTCCATCGAATATTCAAGTTATTATGCAAAAACAACATAAAGACTAACTTCGATAACTCCATAATTTTCCATCGTTCCTGTTACCGATAGATGAATGATGATAGTCCCTGGTGTATAATGTTCTAAGAGGACGAGTTGTCGCGCTCTCTGTGCGTGGAATTGCGATTGGGTCTCCTTATGTAATCAGTCAGTTATAGATGGTTCTTCTACGGAATGCCATGAAAGTAGCAGCATGCGTCTCAGGTTGTGCCGTTGCTGCCAAATTTTGGGATGACGGAACTTTTTGGAAGGCGTATGCTGCCACTGCCACCGCTCAAGCAAAAACCTTTGACGAGCATTTCCCTCGAGGAACATGGGACGACAACTGGGACTAG